CCCAAAAGCCCAGAGCAGGGAGAGAGTAAAATGAAAATGTTCTTGTCTAAGTTATGGAACAACAAGATGATGCATCCAGGGTGCTCTGGGCTCAAATGTCAGGATTACAAACACCCTGACTCCTTCCACATCTAATCACAGAATCTCACTGGTTCTACTCTCCCTGGGCTCACTATCAGCCCCTGCTATCCTGTCCAAACCACCATCGATTCTCACTGATGCTGGTCCCCCTGCAGCTGCTCAAGCCTCGTGCCCACCCAGCCTTCCCTCTCAAGCCAGGGCCCTCTTTTTAAAATGACAATCTCTTTTTTTTCATAAATTTATTTATTTTTTATTTATTTATTTTTGGCTGCGTTGGGTCTTCGTTGCTGCACGCGGGCTTTCTTTAGTTGTGGTGAGCGGGGGTTACTCTTCGTTGCGCTGCACAGGCTTCTCACTGCGGTGGCTTCTCCTGTTGCGGAGCACGAACTCTAGGCGCGCGGGTTTCAGTAACTGCGGCACGCAGGCTCAGTAGTTGTGGCTCGAGGCCTCTAGAGTGCAGCGTCAGTAGTTGTGGCACACGGGCTTAGCTGCTCCACGGCATGTGGGATCTTCCCGGATCAGGGATCAAACCTATGTCTCCTGCATTGGCAGGGGGATTCTTAACCACTGCGCCACCAGGGAAGACCCGAGGATCTTTTTATGTCACTCCCCTGCTTCAAAATCCTCAGTGATTTCCCATTTTCCTTAGGATAAAGTTTTAAATCCTCAATATGGCCTGCAAGACCCGCCCCCTCGAAATCTGGCCTTTGCTGACTTTTCTAATCTCACCCAACACGCTCCATGCTCTCCCTCTAACTCCTTCTACTCCATCATACGGATTTATTTCCATTTCAGGAACATGACTACTTATATTTCCAGGATCTGGCACAGTGCCTGGCACATAATACAACTGACTTTAATTAATGAAGGAATGAATAAACAAATGAACAAATGTGAAAACACCTTTTTATTGAACCAAGGAGATTATGGAAGACATGTGAAGGAGCACAAGGCTAGGGAAACAAATAAAATAGGACAAATGGAGGCATGGCCTCATGCATATATGTGTGTGTGCATGTATATATATATATATATATATACATACACACATGCGCGCGCGCACACACACACATATATGAGAGAGAGAGAGAGAGAGAGAGAGAGGGATTATATAGAGAGAGCTAGACAAGAGGAGTAATTAATTTGCTAATTAGCAATTCAAAGAATATTATACCAGTACAAACAAACATACCCAGTAACCAGATCTTGGCTTTGAAATACCACTCTTCAATAAGAAGAATCAGGGCTCCTTAGAAAACTGGCTGGGAAAGTACAAGATGAACCTAGATCATCTTGTGGTGTCAAAAAGAGTAAGGAAGTAATCAAAAATGGGAACATATCAAAAAAACACAGGAACCAACTCGAAAAGGTTCCCACTAGGCAAATTTGGGACAGTTTAAGCAACAGAATAAGTAACAGTAATGGACTATAACCCATTCTGACATAAATAAATAAATGAATAAATAAATAAATAAGGAAGATGGGAAAGCTATTTCTTTTTCTTTTTCTTTTTCTTTTTTTTTTTTTGCGGTACACGGGCCTCTCACTGTTGTGGCCTCTCCCGTTGCGGAGCACAGGCTCCGGACGTGCAGGCTCAGCAGCCATGGCTCACGGGCCCAGCCGCTCCGCGGCATGTGGGATCTTCCCAGACCTGGGCACAAACCCGTGTCCCCTGCATCGGCAGGTGGACTCTCAGCCACTGCGCCACCAGGGAAGCCCAAGGAAAGCTATTTCTTATAATAGGCTTCCATCTAATAAGTGAAAAGGGAATGGTGGAAAGAGAAAATCACCATTGGGCAAATGTCACAGTGGTAATTTTTCCTGGCAAGAATCGTGAATGAATATAAAACTGGTAGGCAAAAAGTATGATGAAAAATTGTTCATTTATATAGTTTCTTATATCTACCTACAAGATATTAATTAAAAAGGGAAAGACAGCAACTTAACAGTGGAGAAATCAGACAGACAACACCTTAATCAAGTGATCAAAGTTAACACCGCCAGGAGTGAAACAAACCAAGGAGCTCATGATGTGATGCACCAGGAAGGACACAGCATCACTTCTGTGACCGTCCTCTCAAAAATGCATGACCTGAATCTCATCAAGAGAACACATCATACAAATCCAAACTGAGGAGCATTCTACCAAGCAACTGGTCTGAACTCTTCAAAAATGTCAAGGTCATGAAAGATAAAGATTGAATACTGCTCCAGATTAAAGGAGACTAAAAATACATGACAACTAAATGTACCACGTGACCCTGAACCACACGAAGGATATTAGTAGGACAAATTGGCAAAATCTGAACATGGTCTATAGATTCGAAAATAGTTACTGTATCTGTGCTAATTTCCTGATTTTGATAATTTTACTATGGTTATATCAGAGAATGTCCTTATTTCTAGGAAATACACATCAGAGTATTTGGAGGCAAAGGGACATTAATGTTTGCAACCTACAAACATTTCATTAAAAAATTATATAGGTATATATAAAGTTATTTATATATGTGTGTGTGTGTATATATACATATGGAGAGAGAGAGAGAATATGAATCAGTGATAAAGTAAATGTGTTAAAATGTTAACAGTCAGGAAAGGTGGGTGAAGGGAATTCCATTATACTGTTTCTGCAAGTAAAAAAAAATTGTTTTAATTCTGAAATGGAAGTTAACAAAAGAACTCTACTTCCAAGTAAACAGCAGAGTGTGAGAAGATCCATTTATAAAGAGCTGAGAATTTTCTCAGTCTTGCTCATTTGCATTTCCTCTAGATTCCTACCTGTTTCTGCATTTCCTCCTTCCAATGCTGTTTCTCTACTGCCTTTTCTTTTTTTTCATTTATCCCTCTGTAGCACATTCTTCCACTCCCAGAGGTCCTAATGCTTCATAATTTTGGAAATGACTGTATTTCAAAATAATTAATTATCCTAAATGAGTTTTGTTCTTTTGCTTAATTTAAAAATCAGGTGGTTTTAATGTTTTGTTTTGTTTTGTTTTGTTTGCGGTACACGGGCCTTTCACTGTTGTGGCCTCTCCGGTTGCGGAGAACAGGCTCCGGACGCGCAGGCTCAGCGGCCATGGCTCACGGGCCCAGCCGCTCCGTGGCATGTGGGATCTTCCCGGACCGGGGCACAAACCCGCGTCCCCTGCATCGGCAGGCGGACTCTCAACCACCGTGCCACCAGGGAAGCCCGGTTTTCATGTTCTTAGGTCTGCCACTTAAACCTTCTGCTAAAATAAAGTACTTCTTACTTTACCACTAAATCAAGTAGCAAGTTCCTACACTGAATCAAACAATACAATGCAGAAAACAACATATTACAGGACCTAATTTTTAAAAATAAATATAATCTAAGCCTACATATATTTAGGCTACATAAATCCAAAGGCTCATATACCAAATAGTAGTTCATGTGCTGACACACATTGGCACCAAAAAAGTCTTGGCTGAGTGGATGAATGCATGCATGCATTCTAGTACTCTTGGGATGGGATTACCAGGGACATTCAGTTTCTATAGTCTACATTCTGTAGACTACATTCTGTCTACATTCTACCTCTCCTACCCCTCACCTCCAATAAAAGAGCAGCAATAAAGGTTTTTTTTTTTTTTTTTTTTTTAAGTAGTTCCTAAATCCAAATTACAACTTCAAATTCAGGGTCAGAGGGACCATATATGGTAATGAGAAGATCTGAAGTGCCAGAAAAGCTGGGAGGGAAAGTCCCTGAATTCTCCAAAACAAGAGAAAAACCAAAGCTTCTGCGTCAAATAGAGAGCTTTCCCCCCAGCTCTTCTGAACAAGAAAAGACTACATTATGTTCTTCAAGATATTCCCGAATAACTTTCCATTTGTACCAACTGTACTATACTCTCTTGTATTTATTAGGAGTCCTTATCTTTGGGCAACTTTATGCTTTAAGTATTCCTGGCCCAAATTAATATAACTGGAAGACAAATATAAAATAGCCACAGTAACCATCTAAACAGTTCATAGCACTTACAATAACACAAAGTCAGATTTAAAGCAGTAAAGTTCAAAACCAGTAGCTTGTTAACTATTTGGCGGTAGCTTTCTATACACACACTGCTTCTGAAGATGTTTTTGTACAAGGAAACAATCTAGTGAGCATTTCTGTGTGGACTGAGAACCTACTAAACTAACTAACTAACTTTGGCTAACCACACTTTGATAACGTGGCTGCTATGCTGCTGGGCTAGACATCTTTCAATTAGGTGGCAGGTCCTATTTTGAGAAGCTGAGTTTTCTGGAAGGCAATAAACAGGGTAAAGCAGGCAAATACTGTTGATGTTTAGACACCATCCAGTCTGCAGCACAGCAATGGGGCCGGGGCTGCGGCTGGGGAGGGAGATAAGCCTAAGCTCCCAAAAGAGCAGTCTCCTCAGTCCTCTTTAACTCAGCTTTGTGTCTGCTATGAATAGCTTCCAATGGAAAGGCACCAATGCCACATTGTTCTTCATTATGCATGGCTTATTAAAATTGAAATTTTACTGTTTCCAACTCGACCAAATTGGTGGTTCAAACCCCCATGTGCTATTTAAGAGATGGAATCAGGATATCGCCTGGACCAAAAGTGGAACAGGCTGGAAACTCTGAGGCTTTGCTTTCTAAGCTTGCCATGTGAGCCTGGGAAATTCCCAATTTTTCTGTGGCTGTTTCCCCAATCTGTCAGGCCTGGTGCCCCTTCCTGAGCTACTCCATACTGAAAAATCAGAGCTGTGAAATAGGGAATAATTCGTTTCCAGAGAGGCCCTTCTTGGTTGGGAACTTGTTTCTCCTTTTCAAAGAAAGACAGTTATCTATCAGAGCCTGTCCTTTTGCATGGAAGGAGAGCATATCCAAGCTGCCCAGAAAAAAACCACTGAAAATCCACACTCCAGCCTTCTAGGCTTGGTACCTGCTCTTCTTCAATCCTGCGCTGTAGTGTTTCAATATAATGCTGGACGGCCATATAGATGAATCGGTACTGTGCTTCTGTCTGGACCATCCCTGACCTCTGAGACCGCACCATCTGAATGGTTTTGGGAACGTCAATGTCACAGTCGACACCTACAAAGCAAGCACCATGGAGTATCAGGATAAACTGCAGAGACAATGTGAAGTGGTTTAATGCTCAACTGTTAGCAGACTCAGAGATAAAGCAAATTTAGTCTTTAATGTTCTAACCGAACATGTTCCAAGGGCTACAGCACCAGCCTTCTGACCAATACCAAGGATCCTAGAAGATTACAGCGTAAAGGGTCAGGAGTGATGGGTCCCTCACGTTCCAACAGCACCGTCCCATACCATCAGCAAGGATTAGGCGGCTGCATGTTCAACAAAAGACCAGAGCAGTGGCACCCACAGCTCCTAGGCTTTGTTTTATGCCAAAAGCTCAAACAGCATCACTTCTGTTCTCTGGCAAACATACTGAAAGCTGAAGTCTCCGGCCTAGATTTTTGTGAAAATACTTTAACATTCAATTCTCTTCTACAGGCTATTTTCACTAGCACTTTCCTTCCATAAGCTGGAAACAGGAACCGTAGCTTCTTGTCCTCCAGATGACCTACCTTTCTCTCTGATGATGTCAATAAGAATATCAATCACAATGAACGTCCCTGTTCGGCCAATTCCAGCACTGTGGGCAGAAGGATGAAGAGCGAGGACAATGGAGTCATTCATGAGGGTTTTATACGCAACACCAAGCTATTAATATTAACAGAAACAATGTCTGCTCTTGGGAGTGTTTATAAGATTGTCTATTTATATTTGCAAATATATTAGCAAAGAGCACAGGGCTTTGGACTCAGTCCATCCTACACTTGGAGTCCAGCTTCTCCAGCACAATGTGCCTGAGGCCACTCCCTTAACCTCTCTGACCCTCAGTTTCCTCATCTGTGAAATAGGTTGTTGTGAGGATCAAATATGAGTAACGGATGAAAAACACTGAGCTCAGATGCTGGTACAGAGCAAGTGCTCAATAAAAGGGAGCTTTTAAAGAACTGAATAAACAACGTTTCACATACATCTACTTGCATATGAAAGAGATTTAGGAAACCAAACTTTCCCCAGTATAATCATGAAATCTAAGCTTGGGCACCAGCAGCCTGCAAACTCTGGTGCAGAGGCCATGAGCCTGGTTTCTAGAAGCCTGGATGGGGAGCGGTCTGAATCTTCTGAAGCAAACAAGTATATTGTCAGGCGAAAAAATATACCTTATTTCCGTGGAAAAAGAGAACAGAAGCACAATCAAAGAGATGAATCCTAAATTATTATATTAACAAAGAAAACCAAGCAAACATTACCAGACTAAGGGCTCCTTGACAATAAGGACTGTGTTTACCACCCTGTGCCCCACCACCCCCAGGTACACAGTGGTCCCGTAGGATCTAGAAGAAATGTACTTTGGGTCAAAGTGGTCCCTTAATGCCTCAAACAGAGATTAAATTTTTCCCTCAGTTAAAGAGCTGGGGATGGGCAGGTAAAAACAAGCCCCCTGGGCATCAGGACAGGCAGCGCCCTGGAGGTAGGAGGGTTGGTCACCTGCAGTGAACCACCACAGGCCCCGCGTCTGTGATGCTCTCCTGCTTATGGTGGACCTCCTCCAGGAAGTCCAGCACGCCCCCGGGGTCACTGGGCACTCCGTGGTCCGGCCAGGTCCGAAAGTGGTATTGCCAGACCGTTCTCTCCGTATTCCCCTGGAGTAGAGCCAAGAAAAACCAGAAAAGAATTAAATAAATCAAGGGGTTGAGGATTCGTCTGGTCCTCATCTTTCCCAGATCCTAAGTGAGCCAGGGGACCGGGCCCGCACAGAGCCTCCTCACACACTGTTTACAGGTCCCCTGCACAAGTTTCCCAGATCTCTCCTCCTTTTGGGTCTGGCTGAGCAATCCTGGAGGCAACCCTTGGCCTCTGCCATAAGAACCAAGATGTCTCGTTCGGCTATTTGTTCTTCAGGAAACTACAGCCTGAATCAGTCTCTGAATCCTCAGCCAGGGGCAGATGAGGTCCCTGATCCTCCTCATCCAAGTGCAGCTCTACCTGGGAGGCAACTGAGGCCTCTGGGGCTCGGGGCCCTCCTCCCACCAGATGAGAAAACGGGTATTCCCTCAAGCACTTGTTCCTCTTTGTCTTTTTGTACCTGGCCCTCCTCCCCTCCCGCAACACACACTTTTATTATAATATGATACTTAAACCTCTGTTTGCTGCAAAGCAGATAAGAAGACAGGTTTTGCAATCAGATGGGTGGATTTAGGCCCAAATTTCAGGATTCACACTCACTGCGGCCCCTGGACATCTCTAAGCCTCAACTTCTTCATTTGCCGACGGAGATAAGAATCTCTCAGTCACATATCATTGTGAGGACTAAACAACGTCAATTAAACACACAGCCACTGCACAGGAGACAGTTAAGAGACTCAGCACACTGGTGCTCTTCTGAGGACTGACATTAACAAAGGTCAACAAGGGTACCAAGACCACAAAAAACCAAAAAGCGTCATGTTCTGGGTCTACCCAGATTAGATCACTGTAACAGCACTATTCGTCACTACATCTTCTTCCGACATATCTGGAGACATCCAAGCTAAGTAACATTTTTAAAGGGGATTTTAAAAAAGAGAGACAGAGTAAGTAGACCAGTGTCCACCACCAGTAACCTTCAGAACATCCAGGGAATCTGAACCACAATCGAGATCCTTTCTTGAATTATGTGCATTTAATTTCCTGAGTCAGAAAAAGATTTTTCTGGATGTTACCAGTGAGCTAAAGATCAGGGGGTTGGGCTTCCCTGGTGGCGCTAGTGGTTGAGAGTCCGCCTGCCAATGCAGGGGACTCGGGTTCGTGCCCCGCTCCGGAAAGATCCCACATGCCACGGAGTGGCTGGGTCCGTGAGCCATGGCCACTGGGCCTGCGCGTCCGGAGTCTGTACTCCGCAACGGGAGAGGCCACAACAGTGAGAGGCCCGCATACCGCAAAAAAAAAAAAAAAATGGGCGGTGGTGATAAATTGGGCCACAACAAAACAAAAACAAACCCAAAACCAAAAAAAAAAAAAAAAAAAAAAAAAGGGATCAGGGGGCTACCAGGGTTACAGAAAGGACAGGGAACAAGAGAGATCCAGCACCTGGAGCATCCTTGCTCCTCGTCCTTCGTAAATGGCCACTGAGGTCTCTGCTCCCACCCCTCCTTCTGAGGCAATCAGGAGGCTTAAATGAGATCATGTGATAGTACTTTAGAAAACATGGAACGAGCTCTACAAAAAAGCAGGTAATCTGTGACCAGCAATTCTGGAGAAATGATCGGTCCCATGTCAGCACCTGCATCCAAGGGTGCAAAACACAAACCCAAACACCAACAGTTCCCGTACCTGCTCCTCCCAAATCTCCGATAACAAGAAGATGGATGGTTTATCACTAAAACTGAAGAAAAATCCACCTGCTACTGAGAAACACCTGATGACGAGAAGATGGGTAGTTTGTCACTAAACCTGAAGAAAAACCTATCTGGAATCTTTGTCCGACGTCCTCTAAATCTCTGTCTCATTTCTGCTGGACAGCCTCTCTCTCAGTCTCTGCAATTGAACCTCCACCCTCTCCCCACAACCGCAGCCCCGCTGACATCAGAAGTTTGACATCCCACCCTGGACCACAACTGCCAAGGCTTCCAGCTCACTTCAGTCCGCCGACCACCTCATGGAACTCACCAGACCACTGAGCCCCTCCCTCCACCCTCCACCTGCCTCCTCCTGCCCTTGCTGCTGGCTTGCCCAGCTCAGATTCCACACACTCTCCTCACAGCCACTCTCCATCACAGACCTCCACTCCCTCCACCCTCTCTCCATCCACTGCACACACAAACACACACACCCTGCTCCGCCCCAGCAAAGCCCCAAGCCTGGACAAACCTAACCACCCACTTTCTCTGTTTTGTACCCAAGGAACAGAGTGTCCTTGGAGAAAACTCACACCAGGTGACTGGTATCACTGAATGTTCATCTTCACTACCTCAATGGGCACTCAGCACTGCCCAGAAATTTACTGTATTTCTTGCTTTGCTACACAATGACTATTTCATCCTTTCCCCACTTTCCTCAAACATTTCACCTCTTCTTATTCCCTCTGAATGTCAATGGATGGCCTTGCCTCAGGCCTGAGAGAGAATTTAGAGCAAATCTCTGTCAGCTCCCCTCCCTGTATCTGTGGCCACCTTCTCCTCTTTCCCCCCTGTGGCCAAGAAGTGCTATCCCCATCGATCAAACCCACCTCATCCACGATGCTCTAGATCCCATACCCCTCCTCGTCCAGCCTCCACCCTTGCCTCCCTGGCATCCTGCCTTGATGTCTCAAAGGCATCTCAAACTTTACGTGTCCAGCAGGTTGCGCTTCATCCTCCCTCCCTCCTCAAATCTGCTGCAGCCCTCGCCCCTCATTCACACCATCATCAAATCCCTTCACATTTACATCCACAATTATCTCCAGTCGGTCCCCTTCTTTCCATTGCCCCTACCATCTTTTACCCAAACGATTCAAGCCCTACCATCCTGTACATCTTCCAGCTTTTCAGACCTCTGCCACAGTGCCACCGTCCACTCAGACTCAAAACCCTATGATGTCTGATTCTGCCTCCTCCTCCAATAGCCAAACTATCCCTACACACTCTACAGACTTCACCCCCCCAGGGGTCTCTCACATCCCTCGCTTCTCTTCTAGAGTTTATTCTGGCATTTTATATCATATTCATTTCCAAAGGAAGGAACAAGAAGCAAAACATGGAGCGAGGCCAACAGACCTAGACCTCTGCGGAGCCCTCCTGGTTACAGGTGTCCTGGCCACTGGAGTCACTCCATCCCACTCTTCCCTCGGGGGGCTGTAGGACACCTTCCTGGCACCTGTCTCCCACACGTGTCCACTTGGCACAAGAACCGTCACGGGTCCTACACCAGCCAATGAATAAAATTTACATTTCTTTTTCTTTTTTTTTTTTGGCCATGCCTGCAGCATGTGGGATCTTAGTTCCCCAACCAGGGATCAAACCTGGGCCCTCTACAACGGAAGCACAGAGTCCTAACCCCTGGACCAAAAGGGAAGTCCCTAAAATTTACATTTCTTCACATGCGAGTTAGGGCTCTTCCCAACTTGGTCCCAACCTCTCTCAACCCAAGTTTACTCCCTCAATTCCCCACTTGCCTTCATTCCCTGTAAACCCCATTTCCTTGACGTTGGCACTTCAGAACCCTGGCTGACAATGACACTTCATCTGGGAGACCCTCTCTCCACCATCTTCTCCCACAGAGACCCCGACCTAAAGGCCCACCCTCTTCTGAGACGGTCTCCCTGATGCCCCGGCTGGAAGCCCAGCCTCGGCGGAACTCCAGCACCTTAGACGGGTGTGACAGCCGGTGTCTGCTCGACAGCACAGGACTTTGTATACGTGGCTTCTCTCGGCTACATGACTACAATTCCCTGAGGACAAAGGCTATTTCGCTTACCTTTGTGTCCCCAAAGGACTTTGAAAAAGTAAGCCCCTCTCACCATGAAATTATAATGAATCCAAATCTTGTTGGATTCAAAGTTAGTCACCCCAGGGACAAACCTGAACTACAAGCAATTAAAAGCTGATGCCATGGAATTTGGTCACTGAATAGGCCTCAGGGCCTTTGCACTCGCTGCCCCCTCTGCTTAGAACACTCCTCTCCTGACCCTCTGGATGCTGCTCCACCTTCAGGTCTCAGCTTGCATGGCACCCCCTCAGAGAGGCCCTCCCTGTTTACTCCATCTCGGGTACCCAGTCACTCTCTAACATACCATCCTGTGGCTTTCACAGCTGGAGCACAATCGGAAAGCTTAGTTGGTTATTTACTCCTTAACCTTCCACCTCCCTAGGCTCTGTGGGGGCAGGGATTGTGCCGGTCTGGTTTGCGATGTATCAGTAGTACCTTGACGGTGCCGGCACATAGAAGGCGCCTGATAGATGGATGTTATTCAATGAGTGAACGAATGCCTGAAGGTATACAGACAGGAGTAACTGCACAACCCTGGATTAGCGCACACCATGCGCAGTTACCAAAGTCTCTAAAGTACGACAATATACTTACTTGTCCAACCTTCGAAAGTTTAAGTTCTCTTAACGTATAGTCATGAGCAGCACTTTCTTTGACGTTCCTAACGCGCATGACCCCATATTCTTTTAGCGCATACTCATCAGGCCAGTATTTGACACATTTACTCTGGAAGGGATCAGAGAAAAGACAGTTAATCTCTGTGAACTCTGACATGAAAGCCGAAACCAAAAGAAAACCAACGTTCAAGTCTTCCTTGATGACCACTAACATGGAAAACGGCCTGTCTGGTATCTAACTGTTGGGTTTTGAAAGAAGGAAAGAAGAATTCAAAAAGAAAAGCAGGTGTGTGGAGAACCAGGGAGAAGTGGGAAGAGAAAGCCGCTGTTGCAAAATTGTCTAATTTAAGCCACAGGTCCAAGGAGAGTCAGTGTTTGTTTATTTCTCTCTAAAGAACCAAAGAGGCAGAAAGAAGGGGACTACCCAGTATGAGGGTGCTGCCTAGCATGCACTCAGTTCTGAATTCCAGAGATCTGCCAGTCACTCTGCAGGGAAGGCAAGCAGGGGCTCTGGAGGTGGATGGGCTGCCCAACGAGCCAGACTGTCTGGTCCATTTCCGTGCCAGTGTAGGAGGTCTCCCCGCCTTATCTAACCCAAGTGTGAATAACTCCAGCACAGAAAGGCAGCTGATGGGGTTTTGAACCAGCTGCTTTTTCTATATCCAGATCCATCTGATACCTGCTACACACGTCACCTTCGCTTAACTGGGTGCCTGGGAACGCCAAGCCTGCAATAGCTGCTGGCTTCAGAGCAGGCAGATTGGAGAATATGGCACCAAGGGAATCATTCTGGCTGCCAAAGAGTAAGATATTTTGCTCAATGAGAGATGAGTCTGCGTATATTTGGTGATGTGTCCTGGGCAGAGAATGCCTTTGTATCTTGTTTTTTTCCTGGGAGCAGTCACCCACACCACTCACTTTCAACAAACCAAGACACAAATATCAGCAAGAGAAATCTACCTTGTACATTAGGAAGACAGAGAAATTCACTGTTATAAAACAAGAAATCAGAGAGCAGCTGCAGACATCCCCACAGTCAATGACTGAGGGAAAGAAAAAAAACATGGCAGGAGGAAAGGTCAACAGAAGAATTAATGGGCAGTGTTTACTTTTCTGCTTAGCATGGCTTATGTGGTCTTTTATGTATTATTCTGAATTCAGCTTTCCCTCCACGATTCTGTAGATCCAAAAACCTCTTTGACAGATTTGACACAATTTTTATTATCCCCAAATAAACACTTTGACTATTAAATGTATGCAATGCTGTCACTCTCCAATCAATTCTGAGGACTGCTGGTCGCTCAAAAGAAGACAAATTAAATCACAACTCCTAACATTGTAGCTGACTCTGCATGTCTGCAATCTACTGTGCCCTCCTCCCAGTTTCCCAAACTCTGACGTAAACCTTGGCAAACAAATTCTAAAATGTGAGTGCTAATACTTTAGCTTTTAAATTAAAGCCCAGGAATCAAAGGGAATTCAGAGTGTGGTTTTTCTTCTGTGCACTGGAGGGGATAACAGGCGAACAGTTACCAGAAACGCTCGCGGGAGCCTGAAAGCCCATCATGTTCTCCTCTCCAGCAGCAGAGTACAGAGGAAGAATGAGAAAACAGACAAAGGCTGGGAGAAGGAGGTAAGGAGGGGGGGGGCAGAGTGACTTGGCCCAACGTCTGTCTATTCTAGGAGTTTCTGGCAGCTCTTCTGAGAGGGACCAATCCTGATCCCTCTGAAGTGACCCGAGAACCCTCTCTTCACAGCCCCCAAGACCTCTGAGAACAGGTGGCCTCCTACAACTGCAATCAGGCAACAGGCAGGACAGAGGGCTCAGTTTTCCTTTCCATACTTAGAGCAGGTGACACTCACCTGAAGCAAAAACTATGAAGACATTTTAACTTGTCCATTAATTCAAGAGCATCTACTGTTACTGCAGGCAGCTACTAGAGGAAGCCTTTGTTTCACAATGATCAGACCTGGCCTCAAAGGTATTCGAAAGTGTAACAACCAGCAGTACAACAACGAAAATCTTACAAAATCACACTGCCTTTCACAACTGATATGAAAATTACATTAGAAGGGCTAAAATCCAAAATCACCCATCTGTCTTTTTATAGGGTATGACTGCTACATTCCATGAAACTTTTACATAAACCAGTTAAAGTATATCTAAAAAAAAAGAACTTTGACTAGAACACAAACAATAACAGAGAACTTTTCCATATTAAAAAATCCACAATGGATGGGTTCACTTTGGGATAACACACAGAGCTGTCACTCAGTGAGATTTGGCTGCTTCTCTATAGGTGTGGGATGTTATAATTTTTAAAAACCTGAAGTGCTATGAAGAGTGCAGGGAGATGGGTACTAGGCATATGCTGCTTGGGGGGAGCATACACTGGGACAACCACTCTAGAGGGTAGTTGGCAGAATTTATTAAAATTTACAACATGCAAAAGCAAAAACAATAAATAAACAAGAAAAAATAAACAAAAAAATTTCAAAAATAGAAAAAAAACAAGAGAATAAAAGAAAAATTTAAAAAAAATTTTTTAAATTTACAACATGCACACCCCCTATGACCTAGCAATTCTTCTTGACATCTAACCTAGAAAAACACTTACCACATACAAAAGCTAGAACAAGATTGTTCACTTCAGCACTGTTTCTAAGAGCAATAACTGAAACATTTAAATGCCTAATATATGACGGTTAAAGAAATGGTGGTACATCCATACCATGGAATACCATGCAATTACTAAAAAGAATGAGATAGGCCAAAATGTACTAACAGAAGAAGTTAGAACATATATTAGGTGGGGAGAAAAAAACCAAGATACACAATAAAGTTACTGTATGACAGCACTTTTTCATACAGTACTTGTCTGAAAATAGCACTATATACTTCTATAGGAGCATGTATGTATGTAAATCCATATACATGTGCAAATGTAGGTATATAATGCCTATTCTACACATGCATATGCAAATGCCAAGAAGACAGTGTAGAAGAATACACATCAGACTGATAAGAGGGTTTATGTTGGAGGAGGGAACAAGTGGGTGGACAAGTGATGGTGACAAAGGTAATTTTAATTGTAAGGAGTTTGAATGTTTATCTGAATATATTGTCTGGATAGTTCAAATTAATTTTTTAAATGCTTAGAAGTCCTAAGTATAGTTCACATGACAAGTGAAATCAATGTTTACTGATTAGTCCTCTAATCCCCTGAAGGTACCAGACAGGCCTTCTTACACTCCCTTTATGACCTCTGCTTCTGGACACAATGGGGTAACAGAGACTGGATTTACTCTCCTACCTTAAACCACTAAAATGGAAAAATGAAATGACATATATAATAGGATTAGTAACAAGGACATTTAAAAAATTATTATAAATATATTCCATATGTTCAAAAGGTACAGTAAATGATGGACATGTTAAGAAGAGAGACATAGGATATATTAAAAAGACTCAAATAAAACTTAAATGAAAAGGACAATGTTTACTGTGAAAATTACACTGGATAGGATGAACAGCAGACTCCACACTGCAGAAGAAAAGATGAACTGAAACACATATAGCAAAAGAAACTTATCTAACTTATCCCAGACACAGAGGGAAAAAAGTGAACCGAAAAAAAATGAAGAAAGTCTCAGTGAGCTATAGGACAACTTCAAACAGCCTAATATATGTGTAATTGGTATCCCAGGACAGGGTGGGTTGGCAGTTCATATGTGAATAAATAGTAAACATTATTCAAATTTGAAGAAAACTATAAACCCACAGACCCAAGAAGCTCCATAAACCCTAAGAAGAAGAAACAAAGAAAACTACACCAAAGTACGTCATAATCAAATTTCTCCTACTCCGTTTTCCAGAGGGTCAGAGTAAGCTTACTGTGTTTATTCAGCTTTTTGTTTTTTTAAATAAATTTATTTATATTTTATTTTTGGTTGTGTTCAGTCTTTGTTGCTACCCACGGGCTTTCTCTAGTTGCAGTGAGCGGGGACTACTCTTCGTTGCGGCGTGCAGGCTTCTCATTGCGATTGCTTGTCTTGTTGTGGAGCACGGGCTCTAGGCGCGCAGGCTTCAGTAGTTGCAGCACATGGGCTCCACAATGCAGGCTCAGTAGTTGTGGCACACAGTCTTAGATGCTCTGCGGCACGTGGGATCTTCCCGGATCAGGGCTCGAACCCGTGTCCCCTGCGTTGGCAGGCGGATTCTTAACCGCTGCGCCACCAGGGAAGTCCCTATTCAGTTCTTAACATGTTCAACCTGACATGTCCAATACTTCAAAGGCAGGCGGAAACCGCTGCGCCACCAGGGAAGTCCCTATTCAGTTCTTAACATGTTCAACCTGACATGTCCAATACTTCAAAAAAGTAGAGTATATAGCATACCTTTCCTCTCTCCACTTCTTTTGTTGTCATGACAATCACTCGGGAGTTCTCTTGAAACACCATCCGCCAAAAGTCATTCACGGTGTTTTGCAGGCAGCCTTGTGTGGCAATGTAACTCTTTTTGGGCTTTGAGTTGTTGCACTTGGTTTCAAATTCAGGCTAGAAATTTAGGAAGAAAATACTTCAAACATTTGAAAACTGCTTTCAGGCCATGAGGAAGGATTTAAAATACAAAAACTGGCTAGCAATATACAGTCAGAAAACACCACGAGAAACAAAGTTTACCATGATAATGTTTGCATTGATGTAATCTGAAACAGGCTCATTGGGATCACCATCGTGTAGGACAACCCTGGTGTGATCAACTGGAAGAAAAAGAGACCATGGTCACAAAGGTACTGAGACCTCTTCAGGACAAATCAGTTCAAATCAGTTCATCCTCAACGAGTCCAAGTTTTGCTCATTTCATGATAAAACAACATTAAAAACTAAATCCTAAACAATAATCTGAATAATGATGCCTCATAATGCTTTCTTTAAGAGAATAAAATAGCAATGTCAATTCCCTGCTTTTGATAATGTACTATGGATATATAGAATATTATCATTAGGAGAAGCTGGATAAAGGGTACATGGGAACCCTCTACATATTTTTGTAACTTCTTGTGAGTCTAAAATTATTTCAAAACAAAAGGTATTTTTGTTTTCTGGGGTTTTTTTAGAGGAAGAGTAAACTACAGGTAAATGACATGATGTCTGAGATTTGCTTCAGAACAATTCAGGGAGAGAAGAGAAGTGTATCAGAATATAGATGAATCAAGATTGGGCAGGAGTTGACAATTGTTGGAGCTGGGTGATGGGTATGTGTGGGTTCTTTGTACTATTCTGTCTACGTTTGAATATATTTTAAACTTTCCATAATAAAAAGGGTGTTTTTTTAATGAAGTAGAATTAAATACAGTATCTAGACAACAGAATTCTGATGATAGTATCTACTGACCAAATTTTATACAAAAGTACATTACTGATTAAAAAAAATCTGAGTGTTCTACCTAAGCAACACATTTTACACTGAGAAATAGTAATAAAGTTGTATGTCTTACTAGAATAATGTTCTTTTGCTTCAGACTCCCCATCTTTAAAGAATATGATGTTAATCAGAAGAAACATCTGATTGGGATCTTTAAGGGAGGAAAGGGCAATAATATTCTATTTATCAATAGATACTGCATACCACTGTTCCCTTCATCTTTTCCTACATACCCACATCTTACTAATGAGTACCATTTAGACCTCTTGAGCAGAAATGAAATCTTAAGACATAAAGAGGGCAACGCTTCCCCAATGTCATTAGGACCATGCTGTGGCTCAAAATGATTCTCTACAAATTCCTCATTGTCTCTCCTCAGTATTAGAAATGCGTCCACTTTCTCCCATCCTCACCTGCACATATTAAAAATATCTATATGGGGCTTCCCTGGTGGCGCAGTGGTTGAGAGTCCGGCTGCCGATGCAGGGGACACGGGTTCGTGCCCCGGTCTGGGAAGATCCCACATGCCGCGGAGCGGCTGGGCCCGTGAGCCATGGCCACTGAGCCTGCGCGTCCGGAGCCTGTGCTCCGCAATGGGAGAGGCCACAACAGTGAGAGGCCCGTGTACCGCAAAAAATATATATATATATATCTATGTGGATGTGATATGCATATACACTGTGTGTGCACACCTATGTATACAGAAAGACTATGCCACACACACAGACACACACACGCACACATGGGATGGGTTTACAGTATCTGACAAAATAGCTCTGGCCTGAGGAGACATTAGAGCAGTGCTCTCCAATCTGATCATGCTGCCCAATAAACTTCAATAATAGAGTTTTTGAACACTGAAATATATATACAATTATAGATACACACAAGCCTTTTTTTTTTTTTTTTTTTTTGGGGCTCGGGAGCCTCTCACTGTTGTGGCCTCTCCCGTTGTGGAGCACAGGCTCCGGACGCGCAGGCTCCGTGGCCATGGCTCACAGGCCCAGCCGCTCCGCGGCATGTGGGATATTCCCGGACCGGGGCACGAACCTGCGTCTCCTGCATCGGCAGGCAGACTCTCAACCACTGCGCCACCAGGGAAGCCCCACATAAGCCTTATTTTTAAATTGGGTAAAAACATTATGCACACTCTGCCATCAAGCTGCACATCAGATTTAAAGTTTACTTTCTTTCTTTTTTCATTTTTAGATGAAGGATGTAAATCAAGAGACATTCTAAATGTTCCTTCCCTGTCCCATAGCAGACTGCCTTACCCAGCCCACTCTGCAGACCCTGCATTAGAGCTCAGGGCTAAGAGCAGTGACTTTGGAGGCTCTAGTACCAGTTCTCCCACTCACTCCCACCTGTGACCTTGCTAAAATGGTCCCTAAAATGGGGATAATAAGAACTCCTGCTTTGTGTGCATGGGATACGGATTAAGTGAGATATGGACTCAGAGTCTGGCACAGAGACAGCACTCAGGGGAGGTGAGCTATCACAACTGTGTGGTGCCATTTCTGGGATCCTCACCCAAGGCCTACATCCTTCTGGGCCTCTTTTTCACTACAGTTCAACTCAGGCTCTACCTGGCAGCATCTGGGTGTTAAAGGAGGTACTGCATTATGAATATCACAAGGTCTGCTTCTGAGCAAAGCACAGGTATGCACCTGAATCTCCAGTAATTCGAGCTCAAGGGATGAGGGATGTCGGAAAAGATGAAGGGAACAGTTAGAAGAACCCCCAGGAGGAGCTCGTCTGTTCCCCACATGAGGGAACAGAGCCCCAGAAAGGAGGTGTGCCGTCCCCAAGACCCAAGAGCTGGGCACTGCAAAGCAAGGACACAAGCCTGGGACCCTTGAGCCTGATGGTGAGACCCTGGGAGATGGCAAGCCTTGAGATGATCTCTCCTACGCAAAGAAAATTAATTAACAGAAGGAAACAACCACACACTAAGCCTCCCAGTGGCAATTTTACTCAGTATTCAACATCACAGGAACTCAGTGAACGAGGCCATCCATCCCCAAAACAGCTGATTATTTTGGAAACTACTTACAATTAAAAGAAACTAAGGCCTTGGATCTGCTGAGAAAGCACATGGCCCCCAGAAAAGTTACTGAGACACTGGGAATCAAAACCTCCAAGAATGACTATTATGGAGAAATATACTGATACTTACAGGGCAGGATGTTTTTATATCTATTTTTGTTTTTATTCTCTTGCCTCTGACCCTCTTTTCTGCTGTAGAGAAGTTTGCATTCCTGTTGTTGTAGTGTCTAGAGAGAAACAAAAGTAAATATTATTATGCACCAAAAGCGTCAAAAAAAAAAAAGCTTGACCCAGCACTTCCACTTTAGGGAATTTATCCTAGGAAATGTTCCAGAGTCGTGGGCAATAGCTACAAGAAAGCTCACCTTAATGCTACATCAAGAGTGGCAGGAACACTGGAAACAACATAAATGTCCAATCAGAAAGGGCTGCCTAAAGAAACACTTTCGTTCATTCATACAAAAGATGTTCTACAGATGTTTAAAAGATATCCTAGGAGAATATTTAATGCCTTGGAATGATGATCAGAGTAAGTATTAACTGAAAAGCAGGTCAAACTTCCAAAACAGTGTTTTACATAAGCCCGTATGTCTGCATGCACCTGTGTATATAAGAAATGGCAGAAGGATGTACACCAAAAAAGTAACAGGGATTATTTTTTTCAGAGCAGTGGGATTATGCCTTTTCTTTTTCTTTTCTTTCTTTTTCTTTTTTAACTGTTTTTTGCCTAAATTTGCTACAATAAATAAATATTTATAAGAAGAGAAACCTTTTAAAATAACAATTGTTAAGAATGAAAGCCAGTGAGCATTGGTATACAGCATCCAAATAATACATGTGATCCATGTTCTTGAGGATCTTATGATCTGCCTTTTACCACTGATTAATTCAGAGCAGGCTGAAAGTCAGTTCTCAAGTTTGGATCCTGGGGGACAGCAGACGTAGTTCTGGTACCACTAGATCATGGCAATGCAAGCTTTGCTAGCAAGGCTTTAGAGTCCTCCTACGCCTCACACCCATGTCAGTGCCCTGGGCAGCCAGCCTGCGTCTGCACAGACACCCACTCTCCTATGCTCTGAGGGGAGGGGGCCCCTATCCTCTACCACAGCCAGAGACGGAGGGGGAGAACTCTTGGGCTCCCAAAGCAAGGGGTCAGGAAGGACACTTCTGCAGGTAAAGGAGGTGGGGAACGCGATCAGGGCAAGAGCCTAAACCGGGCAGCCACAGCGGAGCTGGCCCCAGGGGAAGAGAGGGTGTGGGGAAGTGGTGAGAAGCACCAGCTGCAGAAACAGACAGGAAGGTGGACAGGCCAGGCTGAAGCATTTTCAAGGAGTAGGTTTCATTTTCAAAATTACCACAAGTGCCTCTTCAAGGGACCCTTGGTTTCAAACAAGCCTAATTTGAATGGGAAATCACAAATGGGGCAAATCAAGAAAGTGAAAGGAAGACTAAAAAAGGGGGGAAAAAAGTGTGTTATATATATTTTTAATATATTTATATATGCTAAAATGATTTTCCCTTAGAGATTTCTCTACAAGGAGAGGCAGAGTATTTCGCAACACAGCAGCCCTGTTAGATTTCCATTTCGTTTATCTGAATTTCACAGACAGGTACAAAAGTCAGGAGTTTAAATTGCTAGTTTGACTCTCAGTTTCAAAATGCAATATTTGGCCTTGACACTCAGCTCATAACCAAAGTGTTCGGCCAGTGGAAACCTGGACAGAAATAAAATACAATGTATGCAGAACTCTGACAATCAAATGGTCACTCAAAATTCTTAAATGAGTTCACTTTAAGTAATTACAGCCATTTGCCTTCTTGGAGCTGGCATTTCCTCTGAACTGTGAGCCAGCCTTACCGTGCAATATTGCTGTGTTAGGAAGAAAGTTTGATCTTGATTATTAGACATTAAGGTGAGGTTCAAACACTATGAACTGAGTCAATCACTTAAACATCAACCAAGTGAAGAGAAACAACATCAACAAAAGCTACAATGGGGTGGGGGGAGGGCGGGACACATGCTAGGAAATAACTAGGTGCTTGATTCAAAACAAACTTGAGAGCAAAGCATTCAAGTGTTCACTTATGAAACAAACTTCAAGCGATGCTTCACTTGTGGAGGGCACACTGCCAGAGCAATCTCTAGAAAAGGCAAATTGCACCCCGTCCCGCCCTGTTTAATCACCTTCAATTTCTCCCTCTGCCTTCCAGATCAAATGCACGCTTTTCAGAATAACTCAGGAAACTTCTCTGAGCTAATGGAGGCCTGCCTCTAACCTCAGCTTCTCCTTCGCCAAGTTACTATCCTGTCCGTACCTCAGTGTCCTCAAGTGTAAAGTGGGGCTAATCCTAACTACCTACCCCATAGGGTTGGTGTTAAGAGTTAAGGCGCACTGTCTACACTCTAGCCACACCAAATATACACAAGGGTCTTGAACTCACCATGTTTCTTCAGGCCTTCATGTTCTTATTCATGCCATCCCCTCTGCCTAGAATTCCCTTTCTCTGCCTTGAGTACCTATGAATGGTTACATTTTACTTACTCATTAGGACCCACCCCAAATACCTCCTCCTCTGGGAAGCTCTCCTGACCCACTCAGCACGACCTCCCTGTGGCTCACAATACCAGTTCAAGGGCTGCAGCACCTCCCTCCGTGAGTACGCTCGTCACACTGAATGCCAGCTACGTTTTTACAATCTTGTCTCTTCTATTAGAGAGCATGGACCATCCGCTGAATGAACAAATAAATACAGAAAGGGGTGGAGGGAGACATACAAACCATAGACCATCATGGCAATGGCCTCGGCACTACAGGGCCCACACTCAGCATCCGATGCTGACACTGTCGGCCTGGCCTTCAACATAAAGAAAAACCACGTAGGCAAAATATTAAAACAGCATTTCCCGATCTTTAGTCATTTGAAAAGCATCTTCAAGATGCTGTGCCATCTCAGCACATCACCTGTTATATGTTGTTTTCTTAAATTAACAGCCTCTTTTTTCCCCTTCAGAAAATGTATTTCAAAAGGAAACTGCATATTACTGGCACACATGAAAACCAGTATCACTCGCCATATATGGAAGGTAACCAGAAAAAGGAATATAATAAAAACAAAATATTGTCAAATTCTACCTGGATACTGTAGCATGCCTGAGGCTTTGTAAAGGACAAGGGACACTGGCAGGTGTTAGAGGCATATTAAAACTGTACTCAGACCTTCTCCTAAGCCACGCCAAAAGGAATGGGTAAGGGTTAAAAAAGAGAAAAACCTTCCTCATTCGCTAATTCGATCTTACTGTAATGGGGTGCCACCAAAAATCATCTCACACACCAAGAACACTTTGCTAGAATAATCCAGAGTTCCAGGCCAGGGAAATCCTCACCAATACCCATAGCATGTTGGCTGGACCATCTACTCAGCTCAGCCTCTGGCTTCCCTCATCCTGCATTAAGTTACCAATTGCTTCTTCCATGTGGATTTGAGGTTTGAACAGCACACAAGTTGAGACAGTTTGGGCCCTGGAGTGTTCCAGAAAGGACAGGCCCAGAGGCCCTGTGTCCCAGGCGCAGTAGGGTGCTAACCGCCAGCGGCTGGCAACTGTCACGGATTAGTAATGACTAACAGTGTGCCTCTCCCCTTCCAGCCCCGCTCCTTCCTCAGTGCCTATTAGCCCATTCTCATCTGCGCCTGGGGCCCAAGTTGCCTGAACACATTTCATTCCCCACAGTGGAAGGCTGCCATCCATCTCGAGTGAGACTGAAAATAAAAAGAACTCAGAAGTTGTCACTTTCCATGTTCTGCCTGCAGAGGCTCCCCGACTGCACCCAAGATAATCAGCTACCGCCGGCTAAGGGGCGCTTCCTCCCCAGCAGCAGGCTGATGGCCGGAAGAGGCAGGACAATAGCCAACAAGCCCTGCCCCCAGGAGTTTACAGTCCCTTCAAGGTTGATCTTCCACAACCTCCCTCTCAGCTGCCTCCAGGGCACCAAAAGCTGTGAATGACCCACGGCTGAATATCACTGTCTCCATCCCCATTCTCCACTGGGCCTGGCAGGATGCCAGTGATAAGGCGTGGGACAGGCAACTAGAAAGCTGGGGCACAGGCTGCAAGATACCCCATTTCCCCGAGTAAAACAACCAAAGGGTTTGCAACCAAGGATGGACCCTCAGAAAGGACCAGAGGCTAGTTACAGTCACCTGATTACATGAATCAACGGTGATCAACAAATGGATTATATCAAACTTTTAAGTTTATAAAAGGCATGAAGAGAAAGGCAATCCCCAATCCACATTGTACATTAGGCGTGCCCAGCAGCATGACCGAGTGTGGATGGAACAGGTGTTCACAATGCAGAACGGTCCCTCACATCTATGGCTGTTGAACATCTGGACTCCCCACACCTGGACCCCTGCCAGCCTCCAGCCTAAATGCCAGTAGCGGCATCCCCAGTCACCGTGATGACCGAAAGAGACCCTCACAGGCTTCCAAAGTCCTCTGATTAAAGACCACTGGAACCGGCTCTTGACCAGAATGTCACGAATGCAAGTGGAGAAACAGGATCAAAGAAAGACAGACAAACAACAAATGAATGGGCAGAGCCAGGCAGCCCCATGTGCCAGGACAGTGGCCTGAGAACCATTTGCCTGCACTGCTCTGAGCAACAGGGACAAATTGCTAAGGGAAAAAAAAATAACGCCACTAACCATTAAGGCCAGACCAAACTGTACAGTATTTTTAAAAACAAAGCTACAGGGACTTCCCTGGCGGTCCAGTGGTTAAGATAAGACTCCGCGCTTCCACTGCAGGCGGCACGGGTTTGATCCCTGGTCGGGGAGCTAAGATCCCACATGCTGCATGGGGTGGCCACAAACAACAACAAAACAAAAAAATAAAGCTACAAGGGGAGGAGACAAGATTAACAAAATACTGATAAGTGTTACAGCTGAGTGTTAGGAAAAAGAAGGTTTATCGTCCTATTTTCTCGACTTTGGCATGTGTGAAAACTTCAATAATAAAAGAAGGTTTTTATAAATTATAAAAAGATAAAAATGTAAAAGCTCCTATTAACTCTCCCCCTACCCCACTCATGGCTGGTCACCTGAAGGAGAGAAAGAGGGCTGAGGACGGCTGTCAGGCAGATGGCCTCTCTGGTGGGGGCCACGAATAATAAGACAGCAGTAACCACGTAGGCAGGCGCCAGACCGGGCCTTCTTCCCGGTCTGA